TTTTTTTTTTTTTTTTTTTTTTTTTTTTTTTTTATTACAGTGATCGTTTCACGAGTAAAGGGTGGTGGTGTTGGAAGCGGAAGGAGAAGTACCAGAACGAGCTCAAAATTACTAGAAGTGAAAAAGGATGAGAAAAGTTGGGAATATTGGGATTAAAAATAAAATTTAATGTATTTAGCATGATTAAAATAAAATTTTAGTATATATTTTGGAAAATAAAATAAAAACTGCATGTTTAGGTAGACTTTTGTATGTCACATTAGTACTTAAACAACAAAAGGACAAGAATAAGAATCAAAATGTGAAGAAAAAAATAATAATAAATAATAATAATACACGAACAAAAAATTAAAGTGTTTAAACGGAAGAAAAAAACGAATATATTACAAAAATAAAAAACATATTTAACTCAAATCTTATCTAATTAAATAAATTAAGACTGGAATCATTTAAAAAAACATTTATATGTTATAAATTGATTTATTTAATAACGAATTATAATATTGTTGGTAGATAACCGAATTTTTAAAATATGTTGTAGGCAATTCAATTCCTGATCATGCAAATATAAAAGACTTTATTAGATAAAAAAAAAACTCGTGTTTTTAATTATGTCTTTAAATAAATTAGTCTTTTAGTAATATCAATTAAATATATATTTAATTGTAAAAAAACATTTATATAAATTAATATAATGATAGTGTTATTTCTATAATGTTTTAAAATTATATAAAACGTTGACTTATTCGATAACTTAGCTCAATTAACTTATTTAGATAGATGTATATTTATTAGACTATTTAAAAGGTATTATTACAAAATGAACTTTGGGTTAATTAAGTCAAACTTTAATAAAATAACGCCTAAACCGCGTATACAACCCTTTCGAGTATATAAAATTAGACTTAACTGGGTCTTCAATTTCATAGATAATTCAAATATATTTAAGGTTATATATATATATATGAGGAGGGTTCAAACGACACCGGTGTAACTTTAACTAAGTGTTACACCGCTCAATAACTTTATATTAAATGTGAATTTTGTAAATCCAACTGTTAGATTGAAAGTTCATATCACTTTATATGTGTATATCAAATTTTCTTAAAATCGAACAACAACTTGAGAGTAATCAAAGTGTTCATATTTTAGTATATTTTGAAATGTATATATTACGTCAATTTTATTTTATGAGAATGAAGTATCAAATCATCTTAGATTAATATAAAATTTGACATATATGATCTAAGAGATATGAACTTTCAATCTAACGGTTGGATTTTCAAAATTCACATTTAATATAAAGTTATTGAGCGGTGTAACACTTTGTAAAAGTTACACCGGTGTCGTTTGAACCCTCCTCTCTCTCTCTATATATATATATAAGGAGGATTCAACTGATGTAACTTTTACTAAGTATTACATCGCTCAATAATTTTATATTAAAATGTGAATTTTATAAATCTAACCGTTAGATTGAAAATTCATATCACTTTATATATGTATATCAATTTTTATTAAAATTGAACAACAACTTGAAGGTAATGAAAGTATTCATATTTTATTATATTTTAAAATATATATATTACGTCAATTTTATTTTATATGAATGAAGTATCAAAACATCTTGGATTAATATAAAATTTTGTATATATGATTTAAGAGTAAAAAACTTTCAATTTAACGATTAAATTTATAAAATTCATATTTAATATAAAGTTATTAATTAAACAGTGTAATACGTAATAAAAGTTACACCGGTATCGTTTGAACCCTCCTCTTTCTTTCTCTCTCTCTTTCTCTCTCTCTCTATATATATATATATTTTAGCACAATATTTATTATTAATGAGAACTTCTTAAATAAAAAAAATAAATCTTATATAAAACTCGTGAGTTTTTACCCCTAAGTAAAGCATAAAATTTTAGAAAATAATAGGTGAACCTAAACTAACCCAATCTTAGTTAATTTGAACCAAAATATTCTCTAACACCATAATATTATATATATATATATATATATATATATGTGTGTGTGTGTGAAGAGATATATACTTTTTTCAAAAGTAACTCTATTTAAACTTATTATACTCAATAATTTTGCTGTTAAATTAAAAG